CAGAGGGGGACACCTGCAATTATGTTGACATTAAATTTTTTAAAAAAATCCAGCCCGTGCCTTATTAACGATTCTGCCAGAAACCTTAATTCTAAAGTTGGTTACACAAAAAGAAATAATAATTTAGATACTTTTTTGCAGTGATAGTAGCAAACAATATCCAGTGGCAATGGTACGTCCGGGTGCACCAATGTTATCATGGCCACGGCAGCAGTTCATAACTCAGATTCACTTTGTGGCTTGATGCTGGATGCGTTTCTGAATGCCTAGCCCGGTCTTCCTTGATAGTTTCTCTCCATTTTTAAACCTGGCTTTCAGGCCTTACCATTGATTCCATGAGCTACCTGATATCCTTCTGGTAAGTTACATAATTCTACCTAAGTTAACCATAGTCACTTCCTGTTAGTTGTAAATCAGAACCTTGAGTGGTTCGTACACCTTGCTTTATTTCTGACTCTGAGCAAGATGTTCCTATTCCACTCTCCAGGGGTATTTTTCTCGCCATCTAACATAGCTCAAATCTATCAACCTGTATTTTATTGATTGCCCATTTTCTCTCCAGGACTGGGGAGTTCTTCAAAGCAGGGACTGAACTTAATTAATTTATCTGTGGTGCTCAGGAAAATGTGAAGGAATATCAGAATAAATTAACAGATGTGAAGGTGATCAGAGCCGTAGACCATCATTATCATCATCAGAATTGCCAGGTTTAATTGCGTCATCATGCATAAGCAATCTGCCAAGCGCTCACATGCATTGTGTCACTCAGTCCTCATAACAACCTTATGACTGGGAAAATATTTTAATCCTACTTCATAGATAAGGGAATTGTGGAGCATACGAGTTAAGGACACATAGCTAGTCAGCGGAAAGCCAGGATTCCAGAACAACTTGGACTCTACAGCCTGTGCCCACAGGCAATAACTTCAACCAATTTTACCTGCGACTAGGCCAAAAGCTATAGGAAACTGAATGGTTCCTGACCAATTCCTAGAGAAGGCCACTTAGAGTAAACTTGAGATGCTCTTCCAGTCCCTGGATATGAAAACAAAAGTGAGTCTAATGGGATAGAGACATTCTGTTCTTTGCTGGACCCATGAGAAGCCTCCTATTTGGGGTGAGAGTTCAGTTCACCCTCTCTATGGAATGGGATTCATGTTTCTGCTTCTTTTAAAGTCTATGGTTGAAGGTGAACTACAAGGGGACATCTACAGGACCCTGTGAGAAGGGAATACCTAGCTCACTGGCCAAAGATGACATAAATAAAGTGGGGAGAAGCCTCAAAAAGCAAAAGGTTCACCACTGCTTTAGTGCAGAGCGGTAGGTGCCTACAGAGGCACAGTAACCAATGGCTACCCAAGGACGCCCCAAGGTTCTTAGAGATGGTATTGGTGGCCAGGATGGCTGGGAGAAAACACTGTCAGAGAGAAGACAAAGACAGAGACATCCCAATAGTGGAATAAAACTGACCAAAAGAGGGTGATGAAACTGACCTCGTTGGAGTGGCTTGCAGAGGTTCGTAATGACTCCATGTGGTACACCACGGTGGCATTTTAAGTTTGCCTTTTGCAGTATATGCACAAGGTTGCTGAGTTTCTTTTCTTTTATCAAGACTTGATTTGGATACCCTGGGATCAGCTATTTTCCATCAAGTTAAAATAAAGCTATTAGACCATCCACAGAGGAATATTCTTGAGTTTCCGGGAGGAGGCTTGAGTCCAGTCACACTGAACAACCACTTTGTACTCAGCAGTGCTAAGCTTATCACACAAAAGAAAATATAGCTCTTGTCTTTAAGGAGCTTGAGTGCGAGGCGGAAAAGTAAACAAACTGATTACTGTGTGGTAAGTTCTAGAAGTAGGTCAGTTCGGAGCCAGTGAATCCGGCAACGTTTGCAAATACATAAATGGAACGGTGATACAATATTACATTAAATGTTAAAATAATATCTAAGTTTCTAGACTTTATGATCAACTGATAGTCTTAGGATCTTAAGGAAGAATAACAGCTCAGTGAAACCTAAAGTTTCACAAATAAGACAGAGGGGAACAAAACATGTGAAATCTTCAAATCAAATTAAGATTGCTAGAGCAGAACTTGGAGAGGTTGGAGTGCAGACAGGAATTGATAACTGATCAGATGAGCTGCACTCATGTGAAGGCTCATATGCCAAATTAATGACTCGACTTTATTCTAAGGGAAATGAGATTATAGTACTGAAGTTCTTACACTTAAGCAAACAACTCTGGAAGAAAGATAACTGGGAACAAAGTAGGGATGCTCATTGGAGATAACCAAGATTTCTACTAGCAGCATCAGTTTAGAAACCTAAAGTAGTAAATGAAGAACTAAAATAGAAGAATGGATAGTTAAAAATGGGTAGATGTGAGATATTGAGAAGGTTCTCTATAACTATTAGAAAATTGTTTGGTTTCCTTTCAGAATATTAAAGAAGACTGTCTTGAGGCTACAAATTTGAAACAAATTGTTTTAAAGCCATTAGAACTTTATTACTTTTAATCTAAAATTGAAAGAAAAAAATAACACTCTAACTTCTTGTGATGTGAGGCTAAAGAATACATATGAATTTAAAATTTTTGGTCAAAAGCTAGGTATTTTAATTAAGGTAAGCACTAAAAGGTTGTTTTAAATCAACCTAACAAGTTCCTTGAGGCAAAAAAATATGTGTGTGGGGGGGTCTTCAACACATAAAATAATGCCTTCAAAATAGAAACAATAAATAAAAATCAACTTTCTGTTGATAGCTTATATTTCAAACATGTTAATCTAAGTATCAAACCACTATAAATATATAGGACACAAATTTGACCAGACATACACTTTATATTCTACAGTTATTTACACCAACTCAGTTAAATGACCAAACCTGTTCTGACACCTGAATTTTAACAGATAAGATAGTGCTCCAAGAATTTCCAGAATTCAGCTCATTAGTATGAACTATTCATCATTATTTGTTCTCACTCCACTTACATTTTCCCAATGATAGTGATGCTTCTCTCCTTCCCCCCCTCCACCATGGAGAACACTGAAATGATCTCTAGAGTTCCCTGAAAACAGGTATAATCACTTAGTGAAATAAAAGCGTCACCTACCCTTGGCGGTCCTTGTACGCTTTGTTAACCCTTTCCCACTGGGAATCCAGCCGTGAGAGGGCTTCCTGGACCTTTGCCCTTTCCGCGGGCGCGGCACTCTGCAGCACCGCTGTCTTCTTCTTGTGAATGGTGTCAATCCGACCTGAGATTTGCTGCAGGCTGTCTTTTATGTTCTGTAATAGTGAAAAATCGAAACAAATGAGAAATGACTCAGCTGCCTAAGGTAAAGAGAAAAGGGAAAACTTACAGACCCCCAGGAGTAACAAATGGTCTTGCAAGTCTTAATTATTGACTTTGAAAGTCATCAGCCCTGAAGCCCAGTGGTTTCCAGATGCCCCAATGCAATGGGCAATGCGCAGTTCTACGACCGCTCCAGCCGACCCCTCCCTCCATCTCCAAAGCCCGTCTTCACTTGGCTTCTGTAACCTGAACTCTTCAGGTTTGTCCCCCACCTTCTTGTCTACCGCCTCTCAGCTTTCTTGGCTGAACTCCCTCTTCATTAATGTCTTAATCTTGGAGCGCTCCAGCCTAGCTCGACACTTCTTGCCCTCTCTACTCACACTCTTCTATTTGTTCCCAGGCCTGGGAATACCCTTAACATGACAATGACTCCCAAACTTCTACAGCTAGCCCCGTCCTCAACTCTGAATTCCACTCCCAAATCCAACACGGGTGTCTGAGAGCGTCTCAAACTCAACATGGCCCTAACTGAATTCTGAACCGCATCCCCTCACCCTTCCTTTCCCATGGTTTTCCTCATTTCAGTAAATGACACAGCAATTAATAAGGTATTCAGGCTGCCAACCTTGGACTCACCCTTGAACTTTCTTTCTTAACCCCCAGTATTCAAATGGCTCTACTTCCAGAGCCTGCCCAGCCCTGGTGCACTTCTCATGACCTCCTTGCTATAGCTCTGCCATAAGCTATCATGATATCCCGGCTGGATTATTGCCACAACTGCCTGAATGATCCTCCCGCTTCCCATCATGCCCATTTCCCAGTCAATTCTCCAGGCAACAAAGAGATTCTTTTAAAAACATAAACCTGATTATATTGCTCCTCCGCTCAAAACACTCCAACGGCCCCTCACCAAACCCATAATCTTTGCCACGACCTAAAAAGCTCTGTGTGACTTGGCTGCATGCGGCCCACAATTCTAACCTTATCTTTTCTTAGTCTTTTCCAAGTTCACACTCTCTCAGCCTCATTAGCCCCTTTACACCCCTGGCGTATGCCAAGCACGCTCTGGCTTCAAGAACAGCACTCGCTGTTCACTCTGCCAAAAATATTCTTTCCCTCCAAGACATTTATATGGCTGGTTCCCCCACTTATTTCTCGTCCCAAAGGAGCCTTCTCCACCACTCTATTTTAAACAGCAGCCCCAATCCCTCTGTGCTCCCTGTATTCTTTATCTTTCCTCATGGCACTTATGAGCAACATTAAATCACCTCTCTACTGGTCTCTCCAGCACCAGACCAGACCCTGTGAGGGCAGAGATGCCATCGGTCTTGCTTTCTGTTGGGTTTCCAGAGCTCAAACCTGTGCCCGGCATGTTAGGTACCGACGCATTTTTGTTGAACAAATGAAGAAATCCAAATGCATCCCATAAATTAAATGCATAATTTTTATCTAGTTTATATTTAAGGGGAAAACATCCTAAGTCAGACATTCATTACATAATAAGTTGTTAAATATTAATTTTAAAAATTGCTAAAAATTACATATTTGTCTGGCCTTGCTAGTATGAATTTATTTTGCGCATCTGAAGTTCTACAGACAAGTCAACTGAGCAAACGTTTCTTGAGCTCCTCCATGTAAAAGGGTCAACGTACAGAAAGTGAAGGTAGGTGAAGCACAGTTTTATTTGTTTGTTTTTGAGAAGTTTTTGTTGTTGTTTTGTTTCTGTTTTTTCTTTTTTTCTTTTATTAAGGGAGGGTGTGTTCTGGAGAATTGAAGGAAAAATAAAAGTGTATAAGCCCCCGCTAGATTATAAGAAATAGTATGGTGAGCGGTGTAAGTGGTACTGAATCTTTCTGGAAGCTCAGAGAGGGCATAAATCACACAGCATATTTGGTCACAAGCTCAGGAAAGAGTTCACAAAGGAAGTGCGATTTGGGGTTGGCATAGTTGATTAGCTGAAGTAGGTAGGACATTACAGTTAGTAGGTTACACGCATACAAAAACAGGGAATGTGAGCGGGCATATTTGGCCAACTTTCCAGAAATGTAGAGAATTAGGGAAAGATGGGTCAAGAAACAGAGGCAGGCGATGTTTAACGATGTGCTTTGAAAATTCTAATTGTAATTCAGTCACCAGTAGGAAACTATGGCTTACAAAAAAATCATAGAAAATTTCAAATCTATAAAATGCAGGAAGATATTACAACTAGTCCCCAGGAACCTACCGTCCAGTGCCAACTCTGATGCACTCATGGACAACCCTGCTTCACCGTATTACCACACATTCACCTCCTCAACTGCATTATTTCTAAACAAGGTGATATCACACTGTATTCATAAATACTTCAGCACGTGTTTTCAATATATATCAACTCTTTTTTAAAAAAAGTACACATAATACCATCATCACACCTACAAACTTAACACAACTTTATTAATGTAATCAAATACTGAGCTGCTATTCATTAGTACGCTGAATTGGGAAAGGAGTTTAAAAGGAAGACTCTCCAGAACTCAGTGACTGGGCTTTGGGTCAAAAGGAGGAAAGACTTGAATAGCTCCCAGGTTTCTGGCCTGGATATTTGGATGAACCGTGGTGTCACCGAGTGAAAGGGTTTCAGATGATGAACAGGTGCCCTGCGTGCACGCGTGCTGGCATGTGCATGTGCGTGTGCAAGGTTCCGTTTTGGACATAATCACATTGAGAGGCCTTCGAGGCACCAGGCTGTACATATCCAACAGGCGACTGGCATCGGATTTTTGAGAAGAGAAATGAAATGGCAACTACCACTGGGCCGTGCGTATCTTCACATGGTCTGGGCTTTCTGAGCAAAGAGCATTGGAAACTGGGTTTAAGGATAACTGAATAGCAAATATATCTTGGAGTCTAGACTAGTACATTACTCCAGAGAGGCTTGGTTGGAAACTTCCCTCTCCTCTCTGGGGCTCTTTGCTTACGCTCCAAGAACAACAGACCTCTACCTTCCCCTGTCTCTGGAGATGATTTGTTTACATTCCAGAACAAAGGTTGGTTCTCTCTCTCTCTCTCACCAGCTTCCTTACATAAGCTCTGATGTTCATAACTTGGCAGTTTCTCTTCTGTATTGCAGCCCCTGCATGATAAACATCTGGCCCTCATTGCATTTTCCTATGGGGACTTGGGGCATGGGAACTGGCACAAAGATGCTCTTGAATAATTTGTTCTCTGACCCAGAGATCTCCTGTTTCCTGCCAGGATAAATAAATATAGATATAAGAACTTAACAAGTATCACTAAAAGGAAAATGAAGGCAAAACCGTCCCCATGCATGGGATGGAGACAAGGCTAAACAGGAGCCTGCAGCTTTCTAGAAAGGAGGCTCTGAGGCAAACTGCACAGGTCAGGCTGGGCAACAGTGGAGAGGTGGTGCGCAGGCCTTGGGGGGCTTTCCTGCCTCATTCTAAGGCTTCTGACTGTGACGCATGAAGATGCCCTGGGGGGAGAACTGAGCTGTAGAAATGGGGGGATATAGATAATGTAGTTGGAAGGAATAAAAGTCAATGCTTACAGTGGGGATTTAAAAAAAAAAAAAGGAGCTGTGTTCCTAGGTTTTGCAAATTAGGAGGCAAAAGTGTAAGATGCAATGGCTCTGGGTGCTGTGGATAATCTGAGAGAGAGAGGAGCTGTTTATAGAGTCCCAAGGTGTTCTCTTCAAGTCCATGTCCACCTTGTGATTGGAAGGCTTCGCTATTTTTTGGTAAGCAGCTCAGTTTAACTCAAGGGTAAGAGTACTTATCTGACAGGTCAAGTGTTGCCATAGGAGAGAAGGGAGGGCTTGCCAGCACCAAAACATCCCGTGAGAGTACTACCCTGGAGGAGTGCAGGTTAAAACTGTCTTCTAGCAGTTACATGCAGAACTGCGAGTCATTGGAATACAGACGCTGCTGGATTGCACAAGAGATGATCAAATTGCTCAGGAAAGTGTTTGAGGGTGAAAGAGTGAGCAAAAAGGTTGCCTGAGGATGAACCTCTGTGGGAGGAGGGAGTTGTCACCAAGTCAAATGCAGACAGGAACAGGGGGCAAAGTCAACTTTAGCAATTTAGGGGGTCGTTGGTGATCTTATCAAAAGCAATTTCAGCATTTTGAAAGTGTGAAAATATGAATCTGGAGAGAGCAGACTGTTTTCCAGTGAACCTTCTTTCACCGCAAAATTGAAAATAGGGTAGTACTACGTTGCGGTGTGCTTTCTTTGACACAAGACACTTCTTTATTGAAGAAAGGCTTACTACTAATAAAAACAAAACTGATAATAAAGCAGAAACTTTGTAAAGGGATAGAATGGTGGGATTTAAAGAACGATAGAAAGGAACAAATAAAACAGAAACTGACTCATAGATACAGAGAATAGTTGATGGTTGGCACAGGAAGGGGAGTTGGGGTCGAGGTGAAGGGACTGGGAAGTACAGATGGGCAGTTACAGAGTAGTCACGGGGATGAAAGCACAGCACAGGGAACAGAGTCAACAATATTGTCATAACTATGTACAGGGCAGGTGGGAGCTAGAAATATCGGGGGGAGCACTGTGTAAAGTATGTGACTGTCTAACCGCTATGCTGCACACCTGAAGCTAATACAAAATAATACTGAATGTAAACTGTAATGGAAAATAAATTTTTTTAAGATAGAATGATCTGGCCCGGCTGGGCATAGCTCAGTGGTTGAGCGTCGACCTAGGATCCAGGCGATCGCGGTTCGATTCCCGGTCAGGGCACAGGCCCAGGTTTTGGGCTCGATCCCCAGCAGGGGGTGTGCAGGAGGCAGCCGATCAATGACTCTCTCATCATTGATGTTTCTCTCTCTCTCCCTCTCCCTTCCTCTCTCTGAAATCAATAAAGACATATTAAAAAAAAAAAAGGATAGAATGATCTGGAATATGTTAGCAATGCCCTAAAAGTCAGTGCAGTCAAGCACGCCTCACGTTTTCTTTTGTTTTATTTACTTGGCAGAATTTCT